AGCTAATCCAGTAGATACCTCACCATCTGGATTTACCAAACCCATAAGGTTATCCATAATGATTGTGATCATCTGGAGGTGCTGCTAGTCATCAACGTGATCTACTGGAGGAGGCTGCAGTGACACGTCATCAACAGGTACCCGATCATCAGAAGGCCCGTCATTAACTGTGAGTGGGATGATTCGAGGGTGTGATACAGTGAGGTACCACTCCAAGTAACCATCCTCACACTGCGAGGGGTGCTGAACAGTGACTGGTCGATCTCTGATGGCACGACCGGAGCTGAGGAAGTTACTCTGAAACCACTAGTCAATCCTTGAAGCTGGAATATCTGGGACTATTCTTGGGATACCTTAAATATAACCATATTGTTGCAGACACCTCTCAGCCAAGTGTCTAACAACCATGGTCTCTCACCGCATGTAACCTGAATATAATGATGACTCTTCAAACTCCTGGTGGACTATATGACCAATGTATGGTGTCCAGATGACATCATCTACAGTAAGAGTATTGAACCTCCTCCTATACTCAGCAACACCACCAAGATGTTCTTGTCTCCCCTTCCACCTCTTCGCCCGTGGGGCCCCCACCTCGCAATGTTGCACCCTCCTGTCACAGATGGTAGGGAAATGCTCATATATCCAACACTGAAATTAGAACACAGACACAACAAATAATAATTAAGAAATGATATTCATTAAAAATAAATACGAAAGCAACAACATATAATAATTTCAAGTATACATGTAACAAACTCAAATAGCCAGCAAGTTGTCTAGTCTCAAAGACCATCGTCAGTCCAATGGTTGTATACAATTAGGTCAACATTGCACACCTCCAAGCCCAGCTGGTTCCCTCGAGGCTACTGAAGAGGAACAAGTATCAGGCATCAACATAAGTATCAAACTTGTCCACAAAAAGCATACATGCTACTATATGTAGCACGTACACCTTAACGACAGCCTCATACCTCCCATCAGTTACAAGCTGGTCGTATATCTTTAGAAAACAATGCATGCGAAGGTGCGCACCCCTAGTCTCACCAAACTTCTCCACCTCAAACAAACTCAAATCATGTGACACAACTTGATAAGCGGTGGCCACGCTAAGAATCGGAGCCGTCCATAATTTGCCACTGATATGGAGATGGAACAATGTAGAGACATCATCCAAAGTGACAGTCATCTCCCCGAGCAGAAGATGAAATAATGATGTCTTCTTGCGCCACCTCTCAACAAAGGCATTAAGTAATGGAGCATCCAACATGGTGAATGAGCAGTGGGCAAAATCAAGCATCTCAAAGTCCCGTATAATCCAATTGACATGCTCAGGCATCGTAAACTTCAGGGAGCCCTTCATCTTCGACCAGTGAGATGCGATCTTCAATGTGGGTCGTTCAATTGACAACAAAATATAAACAAATTAGTTGATACTTAATTATGACAAACATACATAAACAAAAATTAAAACTAAACATAAAATACATATACCTCGCTCTGTCATAATTGTTAGGCCACATGTTCAACATATTTTGTAAGCATAGACTGGTCGATGAGTCCTCTTGAAATCCTCCATCAGTGTGCACAGAGGGCTCAGTTGAAGGAGCCATAACCTCCGTCTCAATAGTAACTGATGGGCCTGAATAACCAGCAACATCATTTGGTTGTACCTCCTCAACAACCTCCTGAGTAACTTCCTCAACAACCTCAGGTACAACTGGATCAACCACGTGAGTAACCACCATATCAACAACTGTCTTAATGACGTGATCAACTACAGAAACGTCTGAAAACACCTCATTGTAGCCTGATATACTGATTGAACTTCACGATGTCAAGTGGAACGAGGTGCCCAGAAATGACCCCGCTCAGCCATTCACTTCCGGTTTGAACTCCACGACGTCGAGTGGAATCGATGCCCGAAAATGCAGTAAAACCCTATACTAAGAAACTAGAAGATAAAAATGATAAAATAAAATAACTTCATTTGATTTGATTGATTCTAAAATAACACATTATACATCACAATATATAAGACTCTAAATATATCATAGTCATCCATGTGACATAATCTTAAGATTTAAGAAATTTCTAGAACATACTAATATTTAAAAATGCTAACTAAAATATCTAACCAATATTACTAATAAACCCTCTATCACATATTAACAACTCTAAACTCATAACAACATAACCCCCTTAATTTAATCAACTCTAAAACATATTACTAAATCAATTTTAAGTTATTTATAATTATGTTTAATTCCTTAAATTGCTAAAGAGTTTTGCAAAACTCTAAATTTAACTCTAAAATTGTCCCACTTCAAAATAGCACCAAATATTATAGAATTATGATAAAATTATGAAACTCTGCTGTTTTAAAAAGTCTTTAAACCTTCTTTTAAACACAATTAACTGCACCTCAAACGGATTTACGAAACTTCAGTTCTATACGTTTTTAGAAGAGAATTTAATGATCTTTCAACCTAGAGAGCTTCACAATTTTATCATGAGTATATAACATTCTGAAGCTCTCCAGGTTGAAAGATCACTAATTCTCTTTCTAACGCAATCATCGGTACCCCTAACGGACTTACGAAATTCAAGTTACGCATGAAACATGATGACCAATGCAGGACTGAAATTGACTACGTCTCTAATACAAAAACCAACGAACTGCTATTGTTGTAGCGCCCCTGGACCCAATTTCCCTACTTCAAAAAAAAAAGATTATTGTGTTAGATTTCTAACACAAAAGAAAGATTTAAAACTCACTTGTTTCGCTATTTGAGTTCTAACTGTACCCAAAGATACACACACACACACACACACACACACACACACACACATATATATATATATATATATATATATATATATATATATATATATATATATATATATATATATATATATATATATATATATATATATATATATATATATATATATATATATATATATATATATATATATATATATATATATATATATATATATATATATATATATATATATATATATATATGCAATTATTAACAAATTGTCCAAAGGACACAATCAAAAATTATTATATAACAACAAGACATTTAACAAGGATTCAAACAACATTAAAATAGAAAAAGAAAAATCAATTCAAAAGGGTAATGTCAACCCTTAAGTTACAAACATACAATCACAAACATAAAAAGGAGAAGAAGAAAATAGGAGGGTAAAGACCCCTTACTATCTGACTGTCTAACTACCCATATGTAAATAGTTTCTCCCTTACTTCGAAATTACCTATTGATAAAACTTTTGGCTTTGCGATTTTGTTTCTACTCCTTTCCAAACGATCAGTCTCACTCTTTCCCAAACTTCCACATTCTGCCTAAAACTTCCAACTTATTTATTTATTTATATTAACCTAATTCTATTATTTTATTTTATTATAAAATAAAATCTCAATTCTTGCAAAATCTCTTTAATACACTATTTTATAAAATATTTCTATTTCTCTCTCCCAATTCACAAAATCTCTAGTTTTCTAATATTTCATATTATTTAATTAAATAATAAAATTATAAATAATTTCTAAATAAATATATTATTTTTAATTTAAACTTATTTTTCTCCCGACTCTAAAATATCTCTTTATTTTCTATTATTTCTAATATCAATTAAATTAGCAATAATATTAATTAAATCTCTACCCTCCTTAATAATTCTATTTAATTAAATAAACCACTCAAATAAATATTATAAATTCAATTATAAAGAATAATTAAAAATTGGGGTGATACACTTCTCCCTCACTTTAAAAAAATTTGCCCTCGAAAATTACCTAAAAGAAACAATTCTAAATATGTTTCTCTCATCCGATCCTCTAACTCCCACATCACGCTACTCTCAACAGATCCTCCCGCACTTTTCAATTTTACTCCTACTGACTAACGGTTAGAAAAATGAGTGTCGCCAGTGTTTCACACATGTCTTACACAAGGGTACAAACAAGTTAACAAAATCTAGATCGAATGCATCGAAATACTCTATTTTCAATTATGTAACAACATAAAATTCTGAAAACAGTTTTATAAAAGATAAACAATTATTTCTCCGAATCAAGTGTTACACATGCTTAGCAAACTCACTCTTTCAAAATAAAACGTAAAACATGCAACAAAATTCAACTTTAAACATACTTTAAAATTGTTTCGATGAAATAAAATATTTGATTAAATAAATAATCCAAAATAGCGACATCATAATAATAATGAAAATTTCTCAAATCCAGTGTTACAGATCAGAGTACCGACGAAAACTAAAGAACGCGGAAAACAACAAAGTAAATGAAGATGCTTCAATGTCATCCTTCAACTCAACATTAATCACTCTTCTATCTGATTATTTGTATTTCAATAGAGTACATAGCACCACAAACAAAAAAGCAAGAGTGAGAATAATTTTACAGATATTAGCGGTGTATTAAACAACAGAGATAATTTTCACATAACAAGTAATATCAAATATCATTCTTACACAATAATATTCAATAATAACAACAATACAAATGTATAACTGCAACTTACTTTTTCTCCAAAATTGCACATGATATCAAAAGTTTGGAGGTACCCTTATAATATTAAAAATAAATAAAATAAATACTAGTTAAGCTTGGTCAGATTCGGTTTCCGACATATTCAAAATAATCATTATGTCTCGACTGAACAACTCTATACTATTCAAGTTAAACAATTTGATCAATTCAATACCTAATTCAAAAGACAATAAATCAGATAGTTTCAATCGGACGGTTCAAACTTGTCCACTTCGAACAAATATTCAGAATTATATGTATAACTTTTATACAATAATTTAAATTATCTTTTAAAAACACTAAAAACATTTCTATTGTTTATTTGTGGCTATTATTAACTAGAAACTTGGATATTTATATAAACATGGCAACTTTGTTAGATTCTCAGAGCATTGTAACGTTTGTTCTCTTGTCTACTTTCATGGCAATGGCTGCTATTGCTTCCATTACTTCAATCAACACTACTTACAATCACCACACTTGTTTAACCTTTCAACCAAAACAACACCACCAACAAAACAACATCAGAATCCATAGATTTCGATGCAATGGAACAAACCAAAATCAAGAGTCTCAACCACAGAACAATGCTTTTCTTAAGGTAGCATGGTATAGTTCTGAGCTTCTAGGCATTGCTGCTTCTGTTTTCCGTTCTTCACCTGATGAAGAAGAAGCTTCTACTCAGAGACTTCTTGAAACCGTTGATCGTGTCTCTGTTGTGGACACAATCAAACAAGACTTCCAAAGATCTTATTTTGTCACAGGTTTGATCACACCCGTTTTCTTATCTTGTGTGGGTCAAATTCAGTCACAATTTTTTCCATTGATTTATCCGTCCTGCAGTCTGATATCCCTGCATAGCTATCAACTGAGATGATTTAACGGAACAAACTCTTTCAAAGATATGATAGTTGATATTTTGAGTATAATAAGATGATTCACATGGTTGATGTATTCTTCCTAACCCTCTCAGGAGATCTCACATTGAATGCATATGAAGAGGACTGTGAATTCGCGGATCCGGCCGGATCTTTCAAAGGACTTCAGCGTTTCAAAAGAAACTGCACTAACTTTGGATCCCTTTTGGAGAAATCAAATATGAATCTTATGAAATGGGAAGATTTTGAGGTGAGGGTAACCTTTAACACTTCTCTAATTCTTTCTCTAATGTAGTTTTGCAACTTCGGCTTTAACAATTGTAGTCGCGGTTTAGAATAAATGCTACTTATGCTAAACATCCGATTATAAGCATTCGATTCTAGAAACTCGTAAATCTTGTTCCTGACAGGATAAAGGAATCGGTCACTGGCGATTCAGCTGTGTCTTGTCCTTTCCTTGGAGGCCTATTCTTTCTGGTAAATTTCAAGCCCTATCCATGTATACTATTATTTGCATGTTCAAGTTAACATGAGTCAGATTCTAGATAGAATATGTAGCAATCACAAAATGCTTATTTAGCAGAAACAAAAAAACAGCTTAAATTATATTTATGTACGCTTTTTAACCATGTTAATATATGTTGCAGCAACTGGATACACAGAATATTATTTTGATGCAGAATCAGGAAAAGTATGCAGGTGAGAAAATGTACAATTGTGGTGACTAATGCACAGTTAATTAGTGTCGTCGTTTTGGAAATCGTCTAAATTCATGAAAAAATTTCAGGCATGTGGAGCATTGGAATGTTCCGAAAATGGCTTTGTTTAAGCAAATTTTGAGGCCAAGTAAGGGATTTGGCTTAAAAGATTATGTGACTAAGTGGTTGAAAATTGTTCAGGTGGATCGGTAAATTACAACGATTTTTGTGACAATGTCAAACATCTTGTATAGTAGGTGTGAACTAGTTTAAGAAGTGTGTGTTAGGAGATCATGAATAGTAGGAACATCTTGTATATGTGTAATGTGCTATACCAGATTAGTTAGGTCTGCAATGTAGTTTTGTTAACAGGAAAAGAAATCATGTTTTTTCTTCTTCTTTTGGTTTGTTACTTTAAAATAAAGCTTTTTTTTGGAACATAAAGTAGAGTTTGTTTAATTTTTAATAGATTGTTCTGTACATTTCTTTTCCTTTATATTTGTTGCATCATTAATAATTTATGGTTTACAAATACTACATTTTAAACTCTGTTTGGATAAACAGTTTATAGCACAAGTATTTACTATGATAAACAATTATGTATAAACTATTTTAATATAAGAAATAAAAAAAAGTTAAATTCTTTTGAAATAAGTTATTTTTTTAAAATTGTTTTGGAGAATCTATGAAAATAAACAAAAAAATAGCTTGTGAATAATTTCATAACCTATTTTCATAAATTCTCTAGATTAGTGTCGCAAAACTCATTGAATAGATAAATTTAAATAAGTTAGTTTAAAAAGATTTTAAATAAATTATTAGAGTAATTATCAATTGTGGTTGCCACATATATTAGACCTTTTAGCATTATAGGTAATTTCTATTGTAAATGAAAGAAATTGCATAAAAGTTTGTCTCTTCTAATCTAATTTTTTTTGCAATAAAAGTATAATAATAAGTGGTTTATTTAGTGTTTAGTAGAAAAGAAGGCTAAGTTTACATCCATTAGAAAGTGTGATAAAAAGATTGTGCTGCTAGCATATCTTATTAGACAAATAAGACAATTACTCCAACTGAATAGAAGTTTGTACCTAAAAGATAACATACAAGAACACATATTTTCTTTTATGTTTAACAGTACTTATATAAAACAATACCATCCCTGATATAGTTCTCTTTTGTTCTTCATGAACGCCAATAACTCACATAAGCACACACATTGTTACATTAATATATAGAGCAATCAACAAATTGCAACTTAAACTACACAACACAAGCATACTTATTTTTCTTAAACACAAAACAGTAACACTGGAATATATCCAAATATATTCAAGTAAAATAGTATGACCAATTAGACAACTTCGTTCCTCTTCATAAACTGTGTTTACCATCAACCTCATTTTCCTGTCCTTTTGCAGCAATATCTTAGCTGGGCTTCACCTAGTCAAATTATAAAAAGAATGTAAGTTTTGCAAACTATAATAATCAGAATAGATTGACTTGATTACTGACTATAATAATCAGAATAGATTGACTTGATTACTGACATGGTAAAAGAAGGTATTCAATACATTAAAGTTTCTATTTTTTAAAAAGAAAAAGAAAAGTTAAAAATACCTGTGCTAGAAACTCCTTCTGTATAGTAGAGTTGAGATCAATGTCCAATAGGACAGCATCAGACATTTCCTGAAACTTAACTCCTAACAACTTGTCTGCATTAACGGTACCTGGACAGAAAGTTTCCATCTTGTGGCAGTTGATTAGAAACACTTGCTCCAAGGATGGAAAACACACTGTAAAATTCCCAGAATAAAAGCATTTGAGTTCTTGTAAATCTTTAAGATATAAAGCCTGGAGCTCCTCAAATACTATTTTTTCATCTTCATCTGATGCATCACCCTCGTGAGACACTATCTCTTGTATTGATTCACAAGAAATTATCTCCATCGTTTTGAGTCGAACCAAACTTTTGGCTGTTGAGGGTGTGAACAAATTTACCAATCCATGGCAGTCAGACACAAATAAACGCATCAAATTGGAGAAGCATATGGTGGATGCTGCTATGTTTCTTAATTGAAAGCATTTAGCTATTTCCAATGTTTCTAGATTCTTGATCAAGGGTTCAACACAAGAGTGCTCTAACCCAATGGAAACAAGCTCTGTAAGTAACTCCAATGTTAATACTTTCAGATGGGATAGGAGTTCTGTATAGACTACATCAGGTCCTTGAAAGCAGAAAATCTCCTTGAAGGAACTACACGACACCGCAAGATTTTCTATATTGGGCAGCTGTTGTAAGAATGCATATGGAAATACACCTGATTCATCATTAAAGCAGGCCAAATGAAGAACTTTTAATTTGTGCAAGCGGTTACTTCGTGAAATAGTGTTCAATTCTTTCTCACCCAGTGACAAACACTGCAGGTTGGGTGTAAGCTACAAAGAGAAAACAATAATCAAGCAAAAGAAGGTTAGGGCAGTTATAGATCCAGCGATTGTACAGATAATAAACCTTTCAAGATAAAAAGATAATAAACCTTCCAAGATAAAAGATGCTCAATATATAATTATTGATGGATTCATTATTTCAAGAAAATATGTGCAAACAAGTTTGCTTGATAGAAAAAAGCTTAAGATTTTTAAAAGAAAATGATGATCTAGGCTATTAAAATGGCGGAAGGTTGGAGTGAAGATCATTGAAGTTTAGGTGGTTTCTGTGAAGAAGATATGATCGTGTAAAATCGTTTTAGATGATAAAGGCCTTTTATAAAGATTTAAGCACCATTGATATTCTTAGAATGTGTGGGTTGGACCTAACTCATCCCTACAAAACCGACTTGTAAGGTGAGGATGCCCCCACTTATAAACACAACACAGGTCATATCTCTAAGTAATGTGGGACTAAATCCACCCCTTCAAACCCAACACAATGAAGGTGTTGGAAGCTGCAATGAAGACAAGTCAAATACCGCAATTTAGACAACTAAGGGTGGAGCGCAATGAAGGTGGAAATTGCAACATATATGTATATATGATATAGTACAATGGCGTGCAAGAATACATCATTATTAATAGTCTCGTTGGTATACTATTTGACATTCTGTAGATATGCAAAACATACAGAAGTTAACAGTGAACACTTAACAGGCATAGAACCCAGCAAGAGAATGACAATATAAGTCAAATTTTTGCAGTTCTTTGTCTATTAATGTATAAGGTGGATGACATCGTGTTTGTCATATCAAACATCAATAAAGTAATAAGAAACTATTAATGATGTTCTTAAAATTTGGGCTTGAATTACTAACTTAACTCAACAATCTGACTTGTAAGGTAAGTGCTATCCAAACTTATCTCTAGTTGATGGGAAACTCTCAACACACCCTCCCATTCTTAGGATTGGAAATCTGGAGTGTAGCCTGATCGGGTAGAATAACAGGGGTCTCAACCCACAGCTCATGCCCAAGAAGTCTAGAAATCTGAAGTGTGGCCTAATACAGGTCAAATAATAGATATATTGGCTCGAAAGCAACGATACCTTTTCAATACTGATTACTTCATCTTCAGAATGTGACTCTTGATACGTTGATATCTTCAACGTGTCAAAATGCAGTGAGCAGTAAAAACACTTGAGCCTTGGCAATTCTAGTAATGTCAATGAGATCATACAAGGGAATGAAAGCTCCAAATCTGTTCCTTTGGGGTCTGCATTGTTCTCTGCAACAATAACAATCAGCACTTTACAATGTTTCACGTGTAGTTCTTCAAGTTTCACAAGATCTGTGGCTACTGATGCTGGAAACAAACTTGCAAGGCTTTTACACTCGTCAACATATACTATTTTTAGAAGTTCTATTGTTAGAATTCCACAAGGATCTTCATTCCAAACACTCTCCAGATTTGGCAACTGCTCTAAAGTCAATATCTTCAGGGAAAAAGGGAGGGGGGCCATGGCTGGTCCATTCAATGTCATTTTTTTGTCTTCTGTTTTACATTTCACATCAAATATGGCTTTCACAAAACTGCAATTTCGAACTGCTAACTTTTCCATTTTTGTTAAGAAAGGAAGTAAATTGAATGGTAGTACTTCGGATAAAAATTGGCACCCATCCACAATCAATTCCTCCAAATTGTTGAAGCACATGTGAGGGACTGGCAGTGAGCCATGCCATATATCATGTAATATTGGCTGATCTACGAGATTCACAACAGTTCCTTTTGGTGCATAGTCGGAAATCTGCGCATGCAAAAGAGTAGAAAAATTAATTACTATTTACCAAGGTCAATAAGCATTGAAATGTAGAATTGTAATTTTATTTCATTTTTCTTACATTTAAAGTTGTTCAAAAGGTTACACTTTAAATCTGACTTTTCATAAGGTTGTAACTATACCAAGTTTAGGGGATTTGAATTATTGTATTGATCATAACAAATTAACACATGCACTTTAAAGATAAATTTGCTTTATTGAAGTAGTTCAGAATTATTTTCATCACATTCTTAGCTTTAGTAACTCACTTATTAGTCTCTTAATTAGGACTTTCATTTCAAGTGATTAGAATGGTGATTTTAGTGCTTGAATTAAACCTACTCAGTTATTAAAAAGAATAAGGGTACAAAACTTGAAGTTTGATCGACTGTTGTTTTAATTCATCAATATATTTGTTCAACATACCTATTCTACAGTCACATTATGAAGATATTTGTTCTTTTTCAACCAATGATGCAGAAAACTTCTTCAGGTCAATCTTTAAGTGAATTTTTCTTCTCAAAATTATATAAACTTATAGTTTAATACTGCTTGAATATGACAATCTCAAAGATTATGGGACTTTGAATAAACATTTCTTCTCTTTTCTTAATAATACGTTTTTTTATCAAGAGATGTTTTAAGTTACGCATGTGCGACAGCCATATCGATTCACCAAACAACTAACTAATTGGAAAACGAGTCATCAGTCCATGCCAATGGACTGACAAAGGCATGGCAACTCTTGCCAACAACATTAGGATGTCCGTCATTTACATTGCACAGCCTTACGGCATTGATTTCAATTTTCTGTCAAAAGGGAAATCTATTTCTCTGAAATGAAGGGAATTTTGGAATTTTTTTTAATTAAAAAAAGAGACATTTTCATAGGAGAAATTATCATAATGGAAGGAATACAGTAAACATAAGAATTTCAAAATGAAAAATCAAGGTAGATCAA